CATGAGCTTCTAGAAGGTCTCTTAAGGGTTTTCTTACCCTTCTTTCCACGTCCCCCGAGCCGCCGAGTTCCGGCGGACGGCCTGCTGCTTTGCAGCGGCTCAAGTGTTTTAAAAGACTTGGGGGTGGAATTTGCAAAGAAAGTACGGTATGGTGTCAAAAAATGCTGAAAGGGACCAAGTTGCATTTCTGTCAAAACGGCTCTTGACTCGTTCAAATATAACCGAGCCGTTTTTTGGGCTTGCCAGCGACCTAGAAGCATTACGCGATCTAGGTTTCCATGCTGGCAAAACCACCATGTAGCCCCTCCCCTTCGGAGAGAGTATGGTCTCAGGTCTAGGGGCTCAAGGTGCAGGGCTTCTATGCGCGTTTTAAAAAGTTTTCGCCAACGGGCTGCTGGCGGACAAAGTCGCTGGTGTGAACTAGCAAGGGACATCCAGTGTTGCAAGTAACGGAAAGCGGTGTCATGGCCTACCGTGACACTTTCCTGTGCGCCAGCCCGTTTGCCGGCTTTTGTCAGGCCAAGACTTACAACAGCCACTCGGAGGTTTTCGGAAATGTCGATCCGACGCTTTGTAACATCAAGCAATTCACCCGTGCGAAGGGTGCCGTAAAAACAAAGTAAGAGGCTGGTAGCGAAGGAAAAGTGTTGGTGGTATAAGGCCCAACCAACCATGGAGTGGAGGATGGTTTCAGGCATGGGCGGAGCCCTGTTGGGCAGTTCGTGCGTGACCCACGTTTTTACAAGGCGCCAAGCACCAGGGAGTTGCCCCCGAATTTTCGCGTCAAAATCCTGCAATGACGCCAGGGTGTCGGCGGCCAGTCCACGCCCCTCCCCGGTGCGCCAGAGGTGTTCTATGTATTCCATCACGAGAGGGTCAAGCAGGCTGCGACGGGTAGGCAACTCCAAACCTTCCTCTTTGAGAAAGGAGAGGAAACGATTCAAAGCTCGATCATATCGCACACGTGTGGCGGGTTGGACCGTGAGGCCTCTCAAAGTACCTAACCTTTGCCTTTCTTTCGCTCTACTGGCTTGAGTGGTCCCCTCAAGTACGACCTTTGGCATGCTTGAACTTCGTCTTCACTGACCACCGCGACGGCTTATCCGCCGGGTTGAGGTCAGTATGCACATAGCCCCAAAGGGCACTGAGGTTGTGAGCCAATAGAAGCGGGTTGATACGGCAAAGGGTTCTTCGCAAGCGGCGTGATGAGGTCCTTCCCCTGCTGAGGCTGTGTAGGCAAACCAGGGAGTCGGTGAGGTGAAGAATGCGACATCCATGTTCCCCCAGATGCTCACATCGCCATCGAAGACAAGCCAAAATAGCTCTAAGCTCCAATGAGTTGATGTGCTCTCCTGGCGTTCGCCACTTCCAGCCGGACACCACCTTCCAACGCCACATTTTTGCATTGACAGTATGTCGAAGTCGCTGATAGCTCTGAATCTCATCCTGCGCCGTGGTGATCATAAGATCAGACCCCTTTGTGGAAACCAGACGGCCTAAGTGCTGTGCCAAGACCTCCTCTGCTCCTGTACTTGCACGCTGATCCGTCTTGAGGGGTGCTCGGAGAAGACGCGACTGGATATACGGATTCCCCTCCAAAGTCAAACGAGACAGGATCTCAGCCGGAGGCAACAGGGGTCCAGCTCCCCGCGGTCCTACCAATTGACCAATAAGCCAAGTGACCACTGGCACCGCCCAAGCATTCCCGACCAAGGTAAGCCGCTTGTCCATTCACTCGGGCAGCTTCCGCTTTGACTTGGGCATGCACATCAGCGTGTAACCGATGGGCAGTCCCATCATGTATTCTCGTTCGCGGATATTTGGTAGCCTGTATTCACCACGTTTGTTGACCACACAATTGCGGGGAATGTACTGGTATGGTGGGAACCTATGTAGATCGTTTTCCCACCGGGTGATGGTGGCTTTGTCGCATGCATCCAGGCCTGCAGGGCGATGGCCCCGTGATGTACGCGGTCTTGACGTTGTAAACGTAGGGAATGGCCTGTCTCCGTCAACTTTTGTCCAGCCAGCTTCAACCGAGGACGACCAGGGTTGATGCCCCGTCAGTATCACGCGCCTGCCCTCAATCTCCACATCTTCCTGCTGCTCATTGAGTTCCCAGCTGATCCAATACAGCCGTGGCCTGCTGCACCAACAAAGCGTCCCAGCGTCGATGTTCCAGGGTTGATCCCCGAATGACTTCGTCATGATGTCCTTATCACGATCATCCATGGATGCCACGCTCTCCATCAAGCAATGGACCTGCCCCCAAGGGAAACAACACTGTACCAGATCACGCAATCGCTTCACATGCACGAACAACGATGATCGCTCATCACGCAGTGCCCCCTTGCGTTGACTGTTGAGTCCTGAGACCCCTTGGCATGGTGGCCCAGCGCCAAGTAGGATCAGCGAGGCCTGCCCAAAACGTAGTGCCCAACGTTGGACGTCCTCCGTCGAGATTTCCGCCACATCGTCATAGTGCCAACTATCTGGGAAGTGGTGTTCAACCACCCGGCGAGCAGCAGCGTCCTTTTCAACACAAATGTGACCTATCACATCGCACCCAAGCAGGTCCAGAGCGACTCTGAGGCAGCCGATGCCATCAAAGAGGCCAATGCTCAAGACCCGTGGTCCGCTACCTGCCACCATCTCACGGCGCTCCTCGCCCAGGGCCACCTTTTCCCCGTAGTTTGTGAGGCTTGTGGCTACGCAGACACCTCCTCCATGCTGTGACGCGTCGCTGCAGGTAACCCTGGGGTTCATCTCCAAGCGGAAGTCCATGCGACAGAGAGGGACTAGGCACAAGAAACGAGTTATCTCAAGCTTTACACCCATTGGAATAAGTTGCTTGTGCCGCCCACAAGAGTTGAAAGACTCGATAAACGCCCAACAGAGGTTGAGCCCTCCGAGGAGCTGGCGACGGAAGGTGGAGAAATACACCAAGCCACCACAAACTACCTGCATTTGTCTTTGCGAGCAGTGGGACTCACTCACCAGCTGGTAGGCGATGGTAACATACTTGGACAGCTTCTGCCCCTTAGGGTAAGCAATGCCCCGTTCCCCGTCAACGACAGCTCCTTGTACTTCCGCAATTGTCTTCCGGCTCACTGCTTTGCCAGGGTGTCGAGGGAGTCCCCACGCCTGGTACTCCTGTCTTAGCGCTAAGACCTCTGGGGCAACCTCTTCGGCCATACCTCCTAGCACTTCATGGGGGTACTTCTCGAGCAGGTCATAGTTGTCAAGATACACCCTCCAGACTGTCGCCCCCTCGGGTAGTACCCTGTCTTTGCGTATCTCCTGTGACACCGTATCACGCACTTGGTTGTGAACTTGTGAACGCCTAGCCAGGACTCGATGCACGTGCTGGGCTATCCCAACGCTGTTCAGAAAACCCATCGGCAGAACCTTTGAACAGGGATAACAAGGCTGCCCCCGAAGTTCTGGAGGCACCAGCTCTGACGGTAACCTCTTGTTGAAACATACGTAGGGGTACCAGCAACTAGGCAACCGCAGCGTGTAGAAAAAACACCGTAAATCTTCACTTGATACCACCATGGATTCATGCGGTTGGATGTGGAATGGTGTCATCCCAAACCAGTGCGGCAGGGTTGTAATGTCCCCGTGAAGTCCTTGACACAGTGCGTTGAGTGGCACTAAATTCATAATTAGCCTGTAGACAGGTATGCCGTCCACTTCTTCGTGTTTCTCCACTCCAAACAGTCCGTTTAGCAAGGGTCTTCCATGCACCTTAAACACCTCTGATTCAGGGATGACCCCGAAAATTCCGGCCTCAAGCAACCCCGTGGCTACCTCGGTCCAGTCCCTGTCTGCTACCATGACTTTTGCTTTGCGTGCGTGTCCCCACTCGTGCGACGGTTTGAGGAAGCTTGGGAAGTGTTCAATGTAGTGCCTGCATCCCTGCTCACAGATGTCCTTCAGCTCCACCACACCGATTTCACGGGGTATGGCGGGCTGGATGTTCCTCCAGGTAAATTGCTGTGCAGTCTTGACCTCATCCCCCTTATAATCAATAGTCCGCGTCCTGAAGAAAGAGTCCCATTCAAAAAACTCCGTCACCTCGCCAACCCCTCCCAGCCGAGCCACGTCACGAGCGATCGACCGGAGGATGCGGGTGTGCACCTCTGACACCATCTCATGCACCAAGGTGGATTGTCCATCCTGCAGCGAAGCAGTCGGGCAACCCCATAACGAATTCAGCCCCATGCAAATAGCTTGTACCCATGCGATGACCCAAGGTTCAGTGGCATCGAGAGCGAGGGTGATCTGGGTTCGAAAGGTGGGCAGAGGGAAAGTGTCCTTAGTCCCTAAAGCTTCCGGAAACCCTCCCATTGCCGTGGACTGGCTGCAGAGCGACGACACCCTTCGAAACTCTCCGACCAGGTCCTCCCCCATCTCCCAAAGCCTCTTGCCACACAGTCCTTTTCTCGCCTCTCGGCGACGCACAGGGCTTTGCCCCGGGGTGTTCACACCACTCGACAAACAGCGATCTGTAACTGCATGTCCATCGCTCGCGAGCGGCGCATCTGGAGAAATGCCAGGGGGCAGGGGAGGGAATGGAACATCCTCCACTTCTGCCCCCACAGGGTTTACCCCCCGTATCGTAGTGCACCGTGTAGAAGCCAAAGCCCCAAGTGGGTCAGTTGTCTGCCTCTTCATCCGGGCGCCAATGACCTCACCGCTCAAAAGACTGTCCTGCTCAGGGCTTTGCCCCCGAACCCCCAGGGTCGCTGCTGTATCGCCTGTAACGCGTCCCCGAGCTTCCAGGGCATTCCCCCGTGATGTATCTGCCAACTCGTCACCAGGGCACGCCCGCCCCGAGTTCGTAGTTCTCATAGTGCCAATGCCTTCTGAAGCCACTTCACCCTCTAGTCCTTCTTGGGTTTTGCCTTCCCTTTTTTCCCTTTGCCTTTGGCGCCTTCTTCTTTTTCTGGCTTGCCCCCCTTGCCTTTGCTCCAATCCTTCCAACTCCCGGCCTGGTGAGCCTTCACTTCGGCGCGGTGCTCCGCTGTTGCAATCGAAAGCTCCTGCCGTGAGGAGAGGCTGGCCCCGTCTGGGGGCAAAAGTTCCATCCGCTGTGCGGATGTCCATGCAAGGCCGGTGGACTGGGCTTCGAGAGACTTCAGCCTCTGAATCAGGGTGTCCATCGCCCCGGGCACCATGCCCTTCAATAATTGATCTCCTATTGTAGATAATGTCAAAGCTTCCCTCGCCATTGGGCCTGACATCTTGCGGAAGAGGGTTTGTCTGAAGTATCTGAGTAAAGTGGGGCTCCAGGGACCCCCCCGCTGATGGTCGAGCCCCACTTCCTGCACCAGGAATTGCTGCATCTGTTCGATCGCTTGCGAGGTCAGGACACCCGGAAACTGCAGTGCGATCCCGCGAATTTTCTGGGATTCGCCGAAGATCTGATCTCCCTTCAGGGCCAAATCCCCCCCGTCCTCCGACGACCCCGACCTGCTTTCCTCCTTCTTGTGGCGAGATCGTCGGGCCATGCGCTGTGCACGGCGCCGCTGCTTCCGCCGGGTTCGGACCTGAGGATCCAGTCCCGACCCTCGGAACAATACCTCCTGCGAGATCTCCTTGAATTCGACCGTTGTTGAACTGCTCGAGGAGCTCGATGAGCTGCCAGGGCCTCTCCCCGTCTCCTTTTTTCTCTTCCTCGATCTCCCCCTCTTTGACTCTCCGCTCTTGGACCTCGGAGAATGGCTTCGCTTCCGCTTCTTCTTTTTCTTTTTCTTTTCTTTCTTTTTCTCTTTTTCTTCCTTCTCCTTGGCCTCCTTCACCTCGATCTCTGCCGCTGCTGCTGTTGCTACAGGGCCTGCTCCCCCGACTGCTTCCATCCTGCTCCTCAGGCCGGCCAGCTCGTCGTCGGGCTTCGCACGCCCTTCCAACAACACGTCGCGCCAGGGGGCTCCGACTAGCTCCTCTAAAGTCTTGATGGTGCGGAGGTCGCTGCAATGATGTACTCGGGCTGCGGTCATGGCGCCTGTGGCCCAGGTCAACAGGGCTTCGTGATCTGTGCCATGAAGCCTGACGCTCAGGTGCCGCCCGGATGCGTCCCTGTTGTCCTCGAGAATGCGCCCCGTGAAACGACATGGCGTATCATGGCGTCCCGTAGTAATACGCTGCCTCTGCAACCACCAGATCCCCGATGGTCGGATCCCAGGGCAGGGCCTCTTCGCCCCGAGGGCCCATGTCCTCTGCTTGAGCGGCGGGTCGACGAAGGCCTCGTCTCCTGCGATCGGGCTCTTCTGCTCTTGCCGGTCTCCTCATCTTCGGTGCCATTTCCCTTTACCTTTTCCCTTGGGCGGTCGCCCCTTGTTGCTGTACCCCAGGGCTTGACCCCGTATGATGTGCTTGACACCCTTCCACTTCTTGGTGCCTTCCGGTTGCCGTCCACGATATCCTGGCGGGGATCTCGACGGTGTCCGAGGGCGCCGCGGCAAAGGCTTGCGGGCCGATGGCTTTGGCGGGACCTTCCTAAGTCCAGCCCCCTCAGGGTCCCTCGCGACCTCTGTGTCGGGACTGACGCCGTCGTCGTGCTGAGACGGGTCTTCACTTGCTTCCTCGTCCGGCTCACTCTCAACCTCCGCCTCGTTCTCGGGCTCCTCAACCTCTTCCTCCTCTTCTACTACCTCTTCCTTCACGGGCTCAGGCGTAGGCTCTTTCTTGGCCTTGCGTCGCTCTCGCTTGCGGCTCCGGCTCCTTGACTTGTCTTTCTCGTCTCTCCTCCGGCGTCGATGTCGAGTCGATGAACCAGGGGTAGCTGCCTCCGACTCTTCTTTCTTGTCCTTCTTCACCCCCGCCGAGGCGGCCGCCGGGTCCTCCTTGCCAGGGTGAACCCCCGCAGCGAACTTCTGCGATGCCCCAGCCTTAGTGTCCTTCTTCTCGATGAGGTAGCCCTGCTGGTCCACCACCCCAGCGGTTTTGTCAGCCTCGAATGCCTCGGTGTCGGCCTCAAGGGTATGCAGAGTTTTCGCCAGGAAGTGGATGAGCTCGGAGGCTTTCGAAGGTGGATACCGTGTCACCACCAAACGCTCGATGCGGGTGGCTAAATAGCAGGGATTGCACAACCCCGAAGTACCTGCGGCTAGGCCCAGTCGATTATGGCAGCTTTTGCAAGCTGCCATCCACAACTGAGAGCCAAACACTACGGAACCGTCAAAGGTGGTGACTAGTCTTTATCCCCGGGGGCGGGGCACCATGTCATTAAATATCATATATTTGGTCAAGTACTTCACCATATAGAATCTAGAACCTCTCAGCCAGAAACGACAGTATGCTCGTACATGCTATGTACATGCGGCATGCTTTTTTTCCGCGTCTCAGCGATATTGCAACCAAGTGAAATTGCATGCAATCAGTCCATGGCACAAACGGACCTAGTGCGGGACACATACCAAGTACGGTACACACATGAATAGCCAATGCAAAAATACACTTCGCATACTCGTTTGCAAGCTTCTCCCCCACTGGACAGTTCATCAAGGCATTGACTCTGACAGTTCCTAACAAGTCGGCTTGAGTCTGAAAGGGAATTTACTTCTGTCCGATGAGACCGCTGCAAATGAAGTTTCCACAGGGATGCCATGTAAAGAAAAGACACACACACAACCTTGCCTGCACACTGTACATGTTAGGAGCTTGCAGCAACCTCCCATCTCCAACAGACAGGTCCACCTGAAACACCACCTCGGACCTGGCGGCAAAAGAGCTCAGCAAGAGACAAGGAGACTTGGAGCGTACTTTGACACCATTCCGCCATTGCAGTAAATCCAAACAAATCTGGCCATGTGTGATCAAAGGCGCCGAAACGCACAACACCCACAGAGAGCAAACTTTGCTTTTTCTGTTTTGATGTCACTCTTTCACCCTTGAAATCCCACCTTGGAATCGGCTCAGAGGCCACAAGATGCATGCCCACCTTTGGATCCTCCAACTTCTTCAACTTTGTGCTAGTGAAGCCACTATCCACGACCTGGGCATCTGAAGTGGACACCGGGGATGGGCAATGGAACAGCCACATGTGGTGTGGCTCTGTCTATCGAGCCTTTGCCCAGGATCTCCTTTGCAAACTATGCAAAGATCGAAAGGCCATGGCAGCAAACCCTGAGAAGCAAACACGAACAAAGCTTTCTCAAACTTATCTAGACTAAGTTATAAATAGACTAATATAACAATATATATATATATATGTAGATATATATATATATATATGTGAGCCATCTGCGTAGACTTGTCGCCTTGTAAATCATGTAACACTTTCTAATCTTTCTGTAGCTCTCAGCTGCTGTCGCATAGGGTTGGCGAAGCACTGGCCACTCACGGCATTGACCATGGAGGACAACTTAAGCCGACCAAACGTAGGCCAACCACTTGACCAGTGAAGAGATCCTTTTCCATTGTCCACTGTTGCAACTGCCAAGCAATTCAAAGGCGGGTTGGCCAAATTGAGGACATCCAGCAAAGGATGCTTATAGTGCTACCGCAGCGAAACGGATTTGCACAGGAACTCCATGAACACCACAGCAAATGAGTTTAAGTCTTTTTCATTTGCTATCAATTGAGTCAACTGTCTCAATTCGCTTCCTGATGCTGATATTCACAAGCCTCAGCCACCTTTGGTGGAAGATGCATTCAAATTACATCAATCGAAGAGCCTGCATTGGTTCACCCGTCTTTGGCTTGTTCTGCGCCTGTAGCTTCCTCTGAACAAAAGGCCGGGGTATTCAACATGGATTCCTGGACTGACTGCGGAGTGCAGTGCAAGGGGAGAAAAATGAGCAACACCTGCGGTGCTCTGGCATCTTTGCGTGGAGCTGCATACATGGACAAACACCCTTGAGAATGTTCGATGGCTGAAAGTGATGCCAGCTGTCCAACCAATGACAAACAGTGCTTGGTTGGACCTTGCAGGCACACAAAACTTGGATGTATTTCTTTCAATGCCGGAAAACATGTGGAAAATAGGAACCGACACCGCCCTTCCATCACTTGGATTTCAACGGTCCTCCGCAGCATCCTCCTTTGCTCAATCGGAGGTGAGGTCACGTGCCACGGTTGAAGGGACTTAGGGATCAGCCAAGCAAAGATTTATTGGCCATTGGGAATATGATCTGATCAAATGTATCAATGTATTCCCATTGCGCTTGAGCACTTTGGTTGAAGATCTTTCCACAAACCCACTAGAAGCTGCACTTCAGCTGAGAGCAGCACCACTCACGTCACCTGCTTGCAGCTGCAGGCTGGGAGAGCTCTAGACCATTCTGTTGCAATAGGTGACAGCTCTTTGAAGGATGTTTCCCAGTTGAAAGATCTCTACATGTCCTTGAATGCTGAAGGGCATTACTAGAAGTTCTGACTCCGTACAAATCTGTAGACAAGATGCAGGATCCCAGCCTTCTTTGCCCTGCTCGAGACTAACCACCTGTGGTTCACTTGAGCTTCACCTAAAACTCTTGAAACAGATTCAAACATGCAAACCAATTAAACAATTAACATATGAACCTAACCTAAGTGACATTTATGTGTGGTGGATTGTAGCCGCTTCGATCTATGGCAAGCTGATGCAAGTCCAACCATGACTGTCAGTGTTGACACTTCTTGCAATTGTGAAGTGATTCTAAGATTATGTATCTATGGAAGAAGCTCTGGAGTGTAGTTCGTGCACCACACTAAAATGGAACAACATGAAACAACTGAAACATTGTATTAATCAAAGACTTTGCCTGTTTGCTGGCCTTCGATGGATCCGGTGCCGCGGACTGGGATGCCCCGTCGCCATACCTCTATTTCATGGCCGTACGTTCATACGTGTTGAACACTGCAAAGTTCAGTTTTGAGGTTGTGCAGTACGAAACTTAGAACGCTAGTAGTAACAAGTGCCTTACTAGTAGTAACAAGTGCCTTACTAGTAGTAACAAGAAGCTATTAGACACTAAGGGCTTGCCATGTGGAGAGAGACTTTCGCTCTGCTTCGTCACTCTCCTTCTTCTCCTGCAAAACATCACGAGGCTGCTAGGGCTCCAGTCCAACAAGTATCCCTGCCGGGAAACATGGGATTCATATGGATTCATTAAGTGGCAATGTGTTGAGGAAAGGCCAGTTTTGACCTTGTGACCCCGTAACTTCAGGATTGACATGAATTGAACTCTCCTGTGGGACTGTCCAAAATCGTTATAGTTATGTAGCTGTCACCTCCTTACTTCCTTAACTCCAAAAATTGGGAACTAGATGTCCACAACCTCCGACGCCATCATGGCCCTGTCCTCTGCGTACCTCCCAAGCTGGTGGATCAAGCACTGCTTCGGAATTGAAGGAGGATCCGTTGGTGGCCGAACTGTCCAATAAACACGCTAGATCGGCTTGCTTTGAAGAACACAAATGAGGAGTTACTGGCACTATGTTTGCTGCTCTCGACTGATATCATCGTAGGGCTGAGAGAAGCTTCGAACATAGTAATTCAACATGTTGATGTCAGTCTACTGCATGCTGCCCCCAATTTGTACACTGGTGGCAAAGGCATGAGTGTGGTTGCGTGTATGAATCTGAATCTTGCGACACGTCGTGACCAAGTGTCAACCGACACTTCATGTCGAGCTTATTTGCCTAGTAGCGATGCCCTTGTTACTAGTAGCTTCTTGTTCCTAGTAATAATGCCAGGAGCTACTAGTAGCGTTCTTGCTACTAATAGCGATGCCCTTGTTACTACTTCGGCCTATAAATCCCAACGGCGCACCATCCGCTGAGGCTTGTTCGGCTTACTTTGACCTCCACCTTCTCCTCCTCTGGTCCATACATTTTCATCACCTGAAGTGCTCTGAGCATTTTTTGGCTGACAGTCTCCGAACAGTCGATTTTGGTCTCATTTCAATCAATAACTCCGCCACTGAACCTGTTTTTCAATCAATTTGCCACTACAACCCAGGATGCCAACCAGTTGGTCGACTTGTCAGGTTTGCTGCTCAACTCCGCTACAAGTACAGGAAAAGCACAAACTGCTGCATGGCACCAGTCACGACATATATTACAACCCAAATTTGGGCACAATGAAAGTAAGAGTTGGCCTTAAAAAAATGGAACCTGAGGTGGACAGGATGCTGGGCTTGAAGACATGCTGACTTGTTTCATGGGTGCCTCCACCAAAGACTTGCGCGACTCTGCTAAAGCTGCCATTGATTGCCGCTGCGTCGATGCCCTTGTGTGGTTGCGATTTGCGACAAACACCCAATTGAGCACACGCAACAGCTTGACACAGAACCTCTCAGTCTTAGACAATATCCAACTAGAATCATGTCGTGGACTCTTTTGAACAATTCAGAGGTTTCGCAAATTCCTCCGCTTGTACCTTCCCAGTCAGTATGTTTGCGCAAGGATAATAACGAATGTCCAAAGAAATTGTTTTGCTCTGAAAGAGGGCTGGTTCAGGTCAACCGTTCAGTTGACTTTGCACGACTGAAAGCACAAAAAACAACTGATAGACATCCATGGACCCTTGGCTCGCAGTCCTCTTTGGCTCGCTAGCCTAAGACAAATTTGCAAAGGATGTCAAAGGTCAGAGTAAGCTGGAATAGATTGGAATAACTTGGTTCCAGGATGAACAAACAAACATTGATTTTGCTCTCTAGGTTTGTGTTGCATGAGGTGTCCCTGAGGCCTTGCGCACCGAAGAGTGCCTGGGTTCCCAGCTGGGTTCCCAGCTGCCTGATAACTCGGCTGTTCCGTCCTCACGCTCTCATCAAATTGGACAACAGCACAGACCGGTTCAAGAAGCACTTCTGCGAGCTGATTGAAATATGGCAATTTAGCCCAACAGCTTGCGGTTGCAGGACACCCATGGACATCCAATTTCCATCTCAGTGTCCATGCAGGAAGAAAGAAACTCAGGAAAACAAAAAACGAACAGAACAAAAATAGTTAAGAGGGAGGAACACAAAAATGAAGCAAAAAACAAAAAAGTAAAACAAGATGGAGCCCACGAACCCGAATGCAAACACGTACTCGAAAACAAACGCCTAAACTGACACTCTTGTAGGAAACACTCTTGTGACTCTTGTGGGACACTCTAGTCAGACAGTCTCGGGACTCTTGTGCAACACTTTTGCGGGACACTCACGTACTCAAATGTAGCTTGGCCGCACAAAAGTTGAAAGTTCTGAGGCCACAGCTTCCAGAAACTGCTTCCCGTATTACATTTGTACTCCAGAAGCTTGCCGCACTACATTTGTACTACCAAGTGGCCAGTTCTGAGGCCAAACTCTCAGAAACTGCTTCCCGTACTACGTGGCCAGTTCTGAGGCCGCACCTGCCAGAAGCCGCTTCCCGGCCACAGCTCCCAGAAGCTGCTTCCCGTACTACATTTGCACGTTCTGAGGCCGCACCTGCTTCTCGGCCACAGCTGCTTCCCGCATTATATGTGTACTACAAGTTGTCCCAGAAGCTGCTTTCTGCACTACATTTGTACTAACAAGTGGCCAGTCCTGTTATGTTTCTTCGTCAACCGTGAGGGATTAGAAATCATATCATACATGGTAATGGGGTTCTTTATGTTTCGTGCCTTTAATCCGGTGAGTGGATACTATGAGATAACATTTTGTGTGCATGGAGCCTCGCATTCCCGCCAGAGGCCTTTCGGGCCTTTCGAGATGTATGAGGCCACGGTCACGGTTAACAGAAGCTGCTTCCCGCATGGCATTGGTACTTCAAGTTGCCACCTCTGACGGACACTCTTGCGGTGCACACTTGTGGGGCACTCTCGTGTGACACTCTTGTGAGACACTCTTGTAGGACACTCTGGGACGCTCTTGTAGGACACTCTGTAGGACACTCCTATAGGACCCTAGTAGGAAGATTGCTTTTGTCGGACACTCTTGTGGAAAAAGTCTGGCGTCGGACGCTCTGATGGGACACTCTTGTATGACACTCTTGTGGGTCACTCTTTGGGGACACTCTTCTCTTGTGGGACACTCTTGCGAAACACTCGTCTTGTGGGACACTCTTGCGGGGCAATTTGGTAGCCCGAAAAACGAGAGCTAAAAGCGCTGTGCAGCCCGGGGTCGCTACAGTGGGCCTCTCCTGTCGCCGCTGGAGGCAATGGAGACACTTTCCGTCCTCCAAAACAGGGGCCGCTCGTTAAAGCATTTTTGTGGCGCTTGTCGACCGCAAGCCATTCCAGGCGCGAGACGAACCCTTGCAAGTCCAATGCAACTTTTAGCTTCTGTAGGAAAGAAGACCTGTTTGACGATGCGCTTTGAAAGGCCGCAGCGCCTCCGATTGAATTCTGCGGCAACAAGTCATTACCACATGGACACTCTTGTCGGACACTCTTGCGACGCTCTTGTGGGGCACTCTTGTGACTCTCGTGGGGCACTCGTGGGCATTACTACTAAAGTCTCCGGAAGTCAACCGTCACGTCTCCAAAGCTAGCGTTTCGTACGAGACTTGCTCCAAAGACACACGTCAAGTCTACAAAACGAGCATTTCGTACGAGACTTCCTCAAAAGCTCATGCGTCAAGTCTGCAAAACGAGCGTTTCGTACGAGACTTCCTCAAAAGCTCATGCGTCAAGTCTGCAAAACGAGCGATTCGTACGAGACTCCCTCCAAAAGTCACGCGTCAAAGTCTCCAAAACGACCGTTTCATATCGCTTCATACGAGACTCCCCTCATGTTCAAGCAGCTTCGCAGTTCCAGCCCCTCAAAACCACAACGGCTGACACGCGATTCCCAATGTCACACAGCGACACTCACCTCCACCAAACATCGCAACCTCACGATAACCTGCATCTGCCACAAAAATTCAACTTCGACACCTCTAACATGCACAATGTACTGCGCCTGCCACGGAAAGTGACGAAGTGGCCTTCACGTCTTCAGCACAATGTGCACCACACCAAAAGTCACAATTTTAGTTGAGACCTGTCACGAAAACACAGCTTCGGAGCAACAGCCTGAAACGCAAATCCCAAAGTCACAGCCACATCCAACACCCCAAAAGCACCACCCTCTAAACGCCAATCCCAATCTGACTGCGAAGAAAACTGCAGATCTCACAAAACGTTGCGCCTCGGAGTGAAATCATCCTCCACTTCATCCTCTCACGTTTCCACACGATTCCTCGCTATTCACACGAATCTGACACGCCTGCTTCCATCCAAAACCCTCTCCAAAAGCTTCACCAAATGTCAGCACCATAGCGCCCTACCGCGATCGGTTGCGAACGCTACAACCACGAGTCGCGAACAAAAGTCTACCAGCAGACCTCAAACGAGAACTCTTCGCTATGCATTCGGGAAAACATATTCTCCCCCTGTTTTCGTGGCTCCTTGAGGGCCGTGACATCACGCTTGGGCGATCATCTCCTCGCGATGTGGAGAACCAAGCTGGGTCGAAGGAGATGAAGCAAGACTCTCTTGTGATCGAACACAACTTAGACAAATGTGCTATTTAATCAACAACAGCAGCAGAACATAGTGTAAGACCATTTTCTGGATAAGAGAACTTTAAACTTGAAGAGTATGGATTCCTCGATTGCCAGGAGTGCTAGGCCAGGCAGAAGCTTCCTGATCTTTATATAAGGTGCCCCGGCCTAGGGTGTACTCGCTGGAACCATGGGAAAGCACCGACCTCATTGTTTGGTCAAGCTGAATTGTTCATTCATTTTGGCCTTCTAAGCTGGGTTTATCCAGCTTTTGGGTCATTTGACTACAGGATTGAACGTGCCCCGCCCAAAAAGAAACAAAGTCAAAGTATGCATAATCAAAGTATCTTTTCACTGAAAGGGCTCTAGAAACATCTCGACCTGTGTCATGAAAAGGCCACGCCTCCGTGCCGCAGAGGCGGCGAAACTGGCGCGGGAGCCGCCCTGAGTCCCGAACGTCCACGTCGACGGGAACGGATTCGACCGGTGACGGCGGTCACTTCGGCTCATCTCAAACGAGTCTCAGAAGTCGGGAGTCCAGGAACAGGTCCACAGCCAGGCAAGGAGATTCTGGGCCTTAGCACACGGCCATTGGCCAAAACTTGCAGCCAACAGAGTCCGAAAAAAAAAGTTTCACTGAACAACAATTTCTTGCCTAATATGGAGTACGTATGGGTACATTCACAGTGGATGTCCTCTCTCATCTGTCACCCTCTTGGTTTTGTGCCGTCAGCATGCGCAATATGAGTGGGAGACTAAACACCTTGTTGATCTGCTAAAGATTGGATTGGCCCTTATCAATCACAGCCTACCGGCATCTATCGGCTCTCACGCTTCTGACTAAACCGACCACCTTACCTGATTTAGTTTCTCACGGCCACAGACCTCGCTCTTTGGGCAATCGCAAACAGAAAACGGCTGATTACTACTGATACTACCGAACTACTGGTTCTATTACCATCACCGCCACCACCGCCACCTTGTTTTCCATGCTTCCTGAATGCATGTTCTGGATCTTTGAGGTTGAAGGTACTCACAACAAGATCTTGACCCCAAAGCCCCTCACATGATACCTTTTCTGCAACCCTTTCTGGTAGGGTGCACTGGGTGCACGCATTTTTAAATCGGCCTCCCGACGCAGGCGGTGGCTCGTTCAAGGCCGCTTCAGAAGCACGAGGCAAGGCAGCCGCAGTGGCCGCGAAACTGCAATCAAAGTGGGCAAAGGATGACATCCACAGGACTTGCCTGTGGTTCTTCGCTTGAGATGTATATAGTAGTAACATTTGTATGTATATGAATATGTGTGTGTGAGTGTATTACGTTGATCTGCACGGTATAATGACATTATACAAACAACATCAAACAACGCTATAAGAAGGGCGTCTTTTAGCTTATGCTCGAGATCCAGCTGCTATCAGCTGCTGGTTGTGTGACAGTCTACAGCAAACACGTCTCAATGCGGCCTGGAACCTGTCGCGCCACTGGCTGCAGCCACTTCAAGGTCCACCTCTTGGTCAATGCGAGCCTGTTGAGAGAGGTGAAGACCATCCCATGTTTAAGACTGAGTACTTGGCCAAGTCCTTGCATACGGTCGCATCTTGATTGATCATGGCTGATTCGACATATGGAGCACTTGTTCAAAGGGTCTGGATATTGAAGTTGAAGAATTGCACGTCTGGCTTAAAAATCAAGCTGCAAATCCCCACCGGCCGGAACATTTTGGCAGCTTCGGGCAGCGTGCGCTCGCGGATTCTGCAGCTGTGGATGTCCCCGTCTGACATAGCAAGCCACAAACTATAGTCTGTGACCGGTGTCATCCAGAAAGTCCACGAGCATTGGCCAACAAGCCTGTGGAGCCATGCTCAGCAGTGCTCAGCATGCTCTGTGCAAAGCTACTCCTTTGATGAAGAAAAATCCAGTCCATCACAGTACGGTTCGGCCCCTTGTGCAAGAGCCTCCCGAGACGAGTGAACAAGCGTGTGAGTGACAGTGGTGAAGCAAAATTGCATACCATGTGTTTGATCGTCTATAGCAGTTTGCATGTTTTTTTGCAGGTTATCAGTCTTGTTGATTCTTTGTTTGTTTGTTGGTTTGTTTCAAGAATCCAAATGGCCTTGTTGTTTCCAACCTTGGGTTTCGTGGGAGCAACCCCTTAACAAAGTCCGACGAAGGCATGCTCTGTTATGCAAAAGTCCTACTGTCAAACCGGCAGTGTTGGAGAAAATGGAGCCCGGCACAGGCCCGGTGTCAAGGATGGTCGTAGTCTGGTCACAAAGGTTCCCCCTACTGTTGGTGCTGTGCTCTTCCACGGAACTGGAAAGGAACTGTCTCAAAGCCCTTGGCCAACAAGATTGTCAGCAAAGGTTCTTGTTGTGCATGACCCCAAATCTGGCTTGGAGGCCCCTGGCAGTAGCAAATTCAAGAATTTCCAACTTGCTACACCAGTCTTTGCTTGTATGTTCTGTCTTTTTTAAAGATTTTTGAGCAGTACATTTTATAGGCTGCAATGTTAGTTTTGGACTTTTTATGTGTTTGTATACAGTATACAACTTTTTTGTTGTTGTTTTTGCTAGCTGCTAGGTTGCTCCCTATGGGGTTTCAGATAGGTTTTGCTCAGCGTTCTTGCATTTGTGGGTCAAGTCCAAGACCTCTGCTGTGCACCTGGGGAGCGGTCCGGCCTCCTCAAGGATTGCTTTGCAACAAGCATCACAGTGCTCCGTCTCTTGAAACCACATGCAGAGCGCCTTGCTCACCAAACCGCAGCATCCGGAGCGTCGGTTGGGAGTTCTGAAGAGTTGTCCGAAGTCGCAGTTGTCCAGTAGAGAAGAAGCAGTGTTTCTTTAAGTTGTGACCAACATGATTTCTCTCTGCTCTGAAACTCATTCCCCAAATTCGATCAAATCCTGATTTCTATAATATATATATATATATACATTATAGGCAAGAACTGTGCTTGGGGTAGGCACTGCAGCCCTCAAGTCAAGCGTCCACAAACTAGTTAAATAGTTTGCTCCAAGCAACTGATCCCTCAGGGAAGCAAAGCATGACGGTTCGAGCCACAGACTCTGGTGTCTTCCACACGACACCTGCAGCGATGCTCGGTTCGGTCCCTTCAACTCCTGAGGTTCTGAAGATTGAACCAGTTTGATGCAACGAATTCGATTTGCTTATATGTTCTAACATACAAAATGACAGATACTAACAAACATGCATATAAAGTAATATAGAGTAATTATGTGTTTAACAAAACATCAAAGAGGGTTGGGCCTCTTGAACAAGGCCCATGTTCACAACATTTCATCCGGTCCAGTCCCACATGGATGGGTACAAGCACAGCCCATTGCTTGGCCTGGAATCATGCGTGCAGCAGGGCTGCTTGCAATGGCCGACCCCCGCAACAGCATTTCCTTGAGCTATTGGCGTCCAATCCACAGGGTGCTCGATGCAAAAGCACAAAAATGCATGAAAACACAAACAGAGTGATGCAATGACGCACTTCACTTCCACAGCCAAAAACATTGTGGCGACTTAGATCCAAGCCAGGAAGGACAAGTCAAAGACACTCCGGCTATCGCTGACCTTGACTAGAGCAATCTGGATGTGTAAGTAAAGTCTGGATGTTGGAGATTTGGGTGGTTTGCTTTAAAAAAAAAAACGATGTTTGGTGGTGTTTCAATTTGCTTCGCTCGGGCTTTGTCAGGGGCATTTGCACTTTGCGTGCTTTTTTTTTCCGTTTCTGCCAGGTGTCTTGTTATTAACAGGAGGTATCAAGATGATTGAACATGTGCTGTGTTGGCACAGTATGGTACAGTCATGGCATTTTTCCAACCTTGCGGGAAGACTGGAGAACAACAGCCAAACTGAAAGTCTCCCTCCTCAGGCCACCAGGCCCCAAAGAAAGATGCGAAGCCTGCAGCCTGCCGAAGGGCAACAGCGAGGCTGTGACAACATTCAATTATTTTAAGGCTGCTCAGTATTGTTTAAGAACTGGGGTACTGTGCTCTGCTTCAGTGTGGCTCTATATAACATCCAAACAGTCTTGTTGTCATTGTGCCGTGATGCCTTGAACATGCAGTCGACCTGCCTCCTCAACGGGACCAAGCAGCAAAGTGCCCCTTTCCAAGGCCAAGCGTTGTGGATCGAAGTTACCTTCACTGCTGAGCACCAAAACCTTGCGATGGGGTTGTCAACAGCTGAGCCGTCAAAATTATCAGCCATGCCAACGTCGGATTAATCAACCCTTATTCAAGGTCAATAAGGTAAACAAGGTTTGAGATTCGAGGTATTGGAGACAACATCCCCTAAGAGAGGTGATGAGCTGATTAGCTGATGAAGGAAACATATTGGGAAGAAAGATCCCCTGTGAGTACACAATGTCAGCACAGATTCCAGCAGGGAAGGATGAGGAAGAAAAGGACGATAAAAAGAAGGGGCATGAGAATGATGGATGCGAGGACCAGCTTGAATGATTTCATGCAGGTGGCATGGGAAAAGGAATCCTATCTCTCAAGAGATGGCATGGATCAAATGATCAGTTTCACCATGAATCAGTTTCACCATTGGATGAGTTTCATCATGGGAAAATATTGGATGCTATCTGAAAAAATAAGTAATCAGATTGCTGCTTTAAACAATATACTACATAATGAACTATCTTGTTGTTAATGGGTTTGATTTATGGGGGAAGGTTCTTGGCAAGGAAGTTGTCCATTAGAGGGAGGTCAATGCAACAATTTATGTTTGAATCAGTTTAGTATTGGGGGCTCGAGATGGGTTTGATTTATACGGGGCGTCAACATTACATGGCCTGTTCTCGCCTAGCCTAGGGTGTTCGAGCAAGGCTTTCGCTCACAAGGACTGTCGGACACAACACATCCATTCAAAGAGACCCCCTATCGTTCCACAGTGTTTGCGAGTTGTTCCTAGAATGCCACTGCACGTCGTTCGCTGTTGGACAAGTCTTCGGGCCTTAACCGGGGGCGTGGTTTCCCGAGGCCTCCCCTGCAATTCTGGGCTATCGTTGGTCGTTGGGGTATCGTTCCAGTTATCGTTCTAGGCACACTAAAAGAAAGTCAAAAATATATAGATTAATTGATTGATTATATATATATATGTCTATTAGTTGTCTATATAATATATCTATATATAGAGACTAAGTGTCAGCCCGCTCGGTTTTTTCATGCTTTGCAAGGTCTAAGTTGTCAAAAATGGAATAGCATAACACTTAAAACTTAGCTCAAAACATCCCCCTGGGAAACCGTCGCCAAGCCGACCGGAACCCAGCTCAAGGATGAAGACATTGTCCTCTTTCCGTCCGCCAAACCGGAACAAGAAAGAGGCCTCACAATGTTTCCGAAAAAAGAAGGAGAAACTTCTCCAGTTGTAGCACACTTGCTAATCACATCTCCACCATCATAGACGCGTCTTTTCCTCTCTTTCTCTTGTCTTTTGAGCTCTTTCCTCCACCCCCTCCCAACACCCGCAGCGGGAGGGAGGGAGTGGGCGTGAGCCAGAGCTGCGGGGGAAAAAACTCACTAAAGCTTCACAACGTCTTTAGAAACGGGGCCGTATGTTCAAAGACTAAGCGTCAGCCCGCTCGGTTTTTTCATGCTTTGCAAGGTCTAAGTTGTCAAAAATGGAATAGCATAACACTTAAAACTTAGCTCAAAACATCCCCCTGGGAAACCGTCGCCAAGCGAACCCAGCTCAAGGATGAAGACATTGTCCTCTTTCCGTCCGCCAAACCGGAACAAGAAAGAGGCCTCACAATGTTTCCGAAAAAAGAAGGAGAAACTTCTCCAGTTGTAGCACACTTGCTAATCACATCTCCACCATCATAGACGCGTCTTTTCCTCTCTTTCTCTTGTCTTTTGAGCTCTTTCCACGCCCCCCCGGCCCGCTCTTTAGAGCTAGCTCAAGCGATGGCACAGGGGTGCGACATGAATTCTGAAAAATAAGGCGAAATCTTCGGTTGATGGGAGTCCAGGGTAAGTGCGTACCTGCTAAGACTGCTAAACCATCGTTCACATAGGCGCGGGCGGCGCGGGCATTTTGCCACCTCCCATAGAGAAGTAAACGATCAAGTGATCCCCACTTCCTAAACCAGTACGTCGCTCCACCCCTTCGGAGGGAGTAAGGTCTAAAGTCAAAGGTGTCAAAACCTACTGCTACCAGTGTGTCATTAAACATTTTCCTCCACTGAGGGGCCTTCGAGCACAAGGGTGTTTTATCTGACACATCCAGGGTCCAGCGGTGAAGCCACCTAATGACCTGTTCTGACGTGAGGCTAACGCTCTCGGCAGCACCCTGCCTTTGTCCTCCTTTGGTGTAACCTAAAGCCACCACAGCCGGTCCACGTTCGGAAGAAACAGAAATGCTACTCGACGTCAACCCTAACAACTCTCCCGTTCGCAAGACTCCATAGAAGCCCACGAGGAGAGAAATGGCGAACTGGTACTCTTTGCGGAAAATGGCATACCCGACCATAGTCTGAAGCGCCTCCTCTGGCAAGGGTGGGGCGCGGCT